CTATTTTATGGTTATTCTCAAACGCATGTTGGGCAACACTAGGCTTAACTGCCGTACCACATTTGAGATGAGCAATATGCTCCTTGAATCTAGTTTGAATTGTTCCTCTAGTTTGTCCAACGTACTTTTGATTACAATCCTTACAGCCATAGAAAACATTTTATCTATGCTTACAACTAATTTTGTAAATTCCCGACTTTTCGTTTGTTTTAATTCTGACTTTTGGATTGCCTACAAGATTTTGTTTATTTTCTGATGAATGAAACACTGTCATATCTACAATATCTTTAAAAATCTTACCAATATCATGGGTGAATCGAGAATTGCGAGGAGGATCGTATGGAATCGATAGAAATTTCGATTTCTGTCTTTTATATAAGAAAGTTCGATTAATTTCGAAGTGTTTCTTTAATTTTACGTTTCCTAATTACTTTATCAAACTTATAGAATATCCAGTACTCGCAGCTATATCCGTAATCAATGCCATTTCTTTTCCAAACCTCTCCTTATAGGGAGGGAAACATAATAGGTGATAAACTAGAAAATTAAAACTCGCCATTTTGTGTTGAGCACAATGGTGAGAGTCCTTAGGGATATAACTTAAAGTATTGGTGTCTTTTCTATATACATCAAATTCTAACTTTTTTTCACTCTCTCAAATAATCACAGGCCCACAAAACAAAAATCTTCTGTCGTGGAGATCAGATCCAACTTTTCCTCATGTATTTTGATACGTGGAAACCGAATTTGGCAAAACAAAAATTTTTTGACACGTCAATTTTTCTCTACGACTCCCTATAACCCGCTATAATCCCTTAGGGAGGAAATTTTTTGAAAAAAATTTCTATAAGTATATTTTAGGTTGCTGATCACGAATCTGAGGTACCAAAAATAAATGTTGACATAATGACAGCTGTTAACAAGCTGTAAAATTTCATGATAAATGTAAAAAGGCAATATTTGGAGCATATTATTATGTTTTTTGGGCTACTGAAGTCAAAAATGAACTTTGATATATTGACTTTTTACATTTTTAATGAAATTTGACACCTCATTTTTGACTTCTGTTTCGTGATCAGCGGCCCAAAAAACATAATAAAATACTCAAAATATTGACTTTCTACATTTTTAATGAAATTTTACAGCTTGTTTACAGCTATCATTAAGTCAAAATTCATTTTTGACTTCAGATTCGCGATCAGCAACCCAAAAAACCCTTATAGAATTTTGTTCACAAAACTTATTATAGAGGGTTATAGGGGGTCGTAGAGAAAAATTGAACGTCAAAAAAATTTTTTCTGCCAAATTCAGTTTCAACTTGTCAAAATACATGGGAAAACTTGGGTCTGAACTCTAGGACAGAACTTTTTTTTTGTAGACCTGTGATAATAAAAAATTAATAATACATCTAAAAATTTAGTTGTTCAGATATTTCACTTTTATATGTGAATTTTACTGACGCGAAAAAAAACAGATCAATTCATCAAAAGTCGGATAAAAAACACATCCAAAATTACAAGGTTATTTGTGTCAAATTGTAAACATAATTTGAAAAAAAGAAATTTTCAACATTCTTCTATAAGAATTCAGAAATTACCTGCTGCCTGGAATATACAAAATTTTTACACTAGAGTTCATTTTATTACAGTATGTTAGATTAAGAATCAAATGATAACAAGTATTTTTGCGTTTCATAACTTTTTGAAACAATTTGGTATGTAAATTTTACTGACAAAATGCAATAATGCTATAAATGTTGCTAACATTAGATGGTTTCCTTTAATACGGATCTCCTTATTTGATCATAACCAGTTGGACTCGTCGAATTACTAGACAAACAAACTTTATTTTTCCGATGTGTAATTATGGCAGAAAATATTGCCACTTTCTACACAAATGTTAAAAATACAAGCATATTTTATTAAGCAACACAATAGAAATTTAATAATAAACACAGTGTGTAAAACTAAATGTAGTGCCAACTGTTATGGAAACTTTTAATTAAATTCATAACGCTACCTAATTTATATGTTTTATTAATTTATTATCTAATACATATTAGAATACCACTGATCCTTTAAGCAAATATTTTTCTAGGCGCAAACAACTCTGGTTATTTCCCAGTTTAATTATTTATTAAATTTCATTACTGAAAAAAAGACTGTTGGAATAAATTAAAGTGTTTATATTATAATTCATTGTTAATAAATCTTAATGAAATATACAACAGTTTAGCATACAATATGTGTTTCATTTCAAAAACCGATCAGGGTAAGTAATGGTGACTTTTTGTGCCTTTGATAGGCGGGACAAATTGTAATGGCGCTCAATATATCTGACACATTCAGGCAGATCGATTACGGTAAAAAATTGACTTCTGTTTGATAGAAGGATGATACCTTTACACGAAACAATAATATTTTCACTTAACAGTATTTTCTGGAATTTAGTGTGATCATAAAAAATATTTAAGTGATAAAAGTGAAGTAGAGTATTTAGATATTAATTTCACACTATGCAACATCACACTATACATCAGAATATAAAATCAAAAATTATTGGTATTGGTATCCAATGCATAAATATAAAAATATATATATATATATATATAAATATAAAACATAATTTTCAACTAGGAAGCGGATTTTTAAGGACACGTGGGGCACAACTTTACTCTTATGCCTTTATCCATTAGAACAGTAATGGCGATGATTTATTATTGTTCAATAGATGGCGTTTGACATTTGTCATATTTGCAAGTGAGCAATAATGAATTACCCGACTACTCCTTTATAAGCGCTTGAGCGATAAATTTTTTAACGAAGGCTTGTATGTAGAATAATTTTTGGTTTATGTGAAAATTTATCCACAAGCCAGTTTAACCAGTCTCCCAATGACAAACAGTGAGTGGCTCATAAGTGGTCGATCCTCTCCACAAACTTCCACAAATAACATAGAACTAATTGTGCTAAAACACTTCTGCACATCGGCCATTTTTTGTGAATTTTGTCACTGTGTCAGTCACCAGTCAACATTTTGTTTTTATCCGAGTTCAAAGTTTTAGAAACAAATATGCAATATTGCAAAGTAGTGGAATATAGTAACAAAAAATAACCTTTGGTTGTCGTTTGGCCAATAAGGGACAAGCTTGTATTAGTTTCTTATCTATTTGTTTGTTCAATTAATGTGTATGGTCATTTTTTATTTTCTTTCACCACCGATACCGATTTATTTAAGTTCAAATTTTAAAATTTTTATTTCTCCCAAGAAAAATCCAAAAAATGCGAAATTTTCTTATGAAATTTGCTACAAAGGTAGATGGTGTCGCAAATCGTCATGACTCAGATTTGTAACAAAAAAAATTGCTAATTATATTTCGTCATTTTCCGCCTGGAAAAAAAAAACGCATAAAATTTATGATCTAAATTATAAAACAACCCAATCTAAATCCGAACTAAAACAGACTTTTTATGGTGGTAGTTTCATGCAAAAAGAGACACCCTGTACATATGTAAATATATGCGTGTAAGTAATATATACAAAACAAATAGCAACATATTTTAATAAATAAAATGGTCAGTACCGACAATAAACAATTACACCGTTTTCATAATAAATTCAAATTTCTCCAAAGCAAATTCCTTTTATTGTTAAAAAATCATTAATGGTAATCCACAAATGCCATTTGTAACAAAATAAATAATCAATTGAATTTTGTAAAGCTCTGCAATAAATCACAAAGATTAAACTATATGATATATTTCGTATTGGATATGATTGTAATCCAGTGAATTAGTACTTTACTGCATGTAAAACACATTGTGGTATATTTAAAGTTCAATAAAAAAACATAGGTAACTAGATAAGTAATTGATTGTGGGGTTAGAACACTTGCTGGGTTCACGGGTTCGATTCCCTGTGAAAAGCTGGGATTTTTTTCAGAGGCATAAACTTATATACTTGGATGTTGGGTGTGTGTCCATTGTCTCCAAATATAAAACCCTCTTCTGCACAAGGTTACTTTATGGATACAAGTATTACCTGTAGTGATGCTTTTGACTATAGTCTGCCAGGCGCAAGAAAAAGATAAAAAGGATTAATTTGAATTATTTTAATATCATATTCATTCGCCTTCATTTTAAAATTTTGTTGTAATTTTTTTGCCAAATAAATTAGACAATATGAATATGATTTGATGTTATATTTACGGAAGGTCCGGAGGAAAAATAGAAACAAATAATAATATAATGATGAGATATTTAAACTAGGTCATTGTTTGAGGTAATATTTTAGTCGAATATTTGATCTAGAATAGATCCTTGCGGAAATTGATAAAATAAGGTAATAATACAGTGGTTTCACTGTTTGTGCTGCATATGGCGCATGCGATTTCTGTAAAGGTATTATCTTAATTGATGATTGTCTTTAACGTAGAATGGCATTGTAGTTTTCATTCTATTCTGCTTTTCACACCTATTAGTTTACGAATGATAGTTGACTACATAGACAATGTCAGCGTTATATGCACTAATGCTAAACTCCCTACTAATACACATTGTCGACAAATAGTTTCCAAATACAGAGAGAACATGTTTTCCTCTGGCAATTGTTTGCATTAGAGAGTCGCATTGGTAAGAAAACAGAACTTGCTAAGGTAATCTTTGAGTTTTCAGATACACAAAAAGACATTATAGTTGACTTTGGTAAAGAAGTAGTTCCCATGGACATCTGTCCTGCCACAAAACAATCTGGCAGGCGTTTTTGCGCCTGATGCATACATATGTATACCTATAACTGGCCTCATCAACTTTTACTACAATTATGGGGGTACGTTTTGTACACACATGCATGTTCACCGTCGGGAAGTCATGGTTTTTCGAATAAGGCTTCTTCACAAGCTGGTCCTGAAGGTTTCGAATACGAGTTGGAAATATGCTTATACAATTTACCATCCTCTACAAGCTGTTGGGAGTAGTGGACTTTAATACTGTTTTCAGTATGGTAGCTAAGTGGGTAAAGCGTTTATAGCTATTTACTCGGTATCGAGGTCGACGGTTCAATTCCGTCCTGGAGCAAGACATTTAATGTGTAGTTTATTTCTTACTAAGGTGGATGAGGGAATTGTCGTTGCCCTAGATATGGTTCGCATTCCATACAGGGTGAGTCTTAAGTGCGTAGTTATATTTAAACCACCGATTCTTGACATCTGTAGAAACCCTCTGTCACATTTTTTTTTAATTCCCACGTGTAACTGAGTTATCAACTTTCAAAAAAATATGAAATTGTTTTGGAACTGCTGGTTACTGGAAACATTCTAGATCTTAGCAAAAATGATGTAACGGACTGAAGCAACGTTGCCGCATATCTTATGCAATTCTCTCACATGATTTTACAATCGAGTTAACATAAGGTTACCTAGCATTATATTTTCACAAAAATAGATGAGATTATAATACAAACCACTTCAACTAAAAGTTACTTTAGCATAAAATATTTGTTGCTATAACCACTTCCAAAATAAATGTAAAATTTAAAAAAATTCGAATTCTAAAAGTGCAGTTCTTCCATTAAAAAAAGAGTAAACTGAATTAAATTTTATACCGTGTACGTAGGATCTTTATAAATCGGAACCTCGCGTAAACAGCGCTAGTTGTGCAAGACCAAATAAATAATAGTCTTTTGCTGTTTTCTGTTGTTTCTGTTGCGATGGTAAGACCCGTTTTTTCAATGTTCAGTTAGCTAAATTAACCGTCAGTTAGGTCAATAGAAATTTTTTGAAAAGCAGCATGATTTATTTATAATGAAATTTATAACCTATGTGAAAATCTCACACATCTGGCAACACTACACCCCATATAAAAACCAGTGTTATTGTAGTTCGCGTAACTGTCTGCATTAGAATTAACAAAAATGTGTTTAATACCGTTATTTTTAGTTTTTTGTGATTAAATTTGTGAATCGAACTTTTGAGTTATTATGTTACCAAAATTTATTATTTATAATTTGTTCCTTTGGTGGTTTATTTTGTGAAAATTAGTGATTAACCATAGCGACTAATTTTATTATTTTAATGCTGGATATGTTAAAGGCATATTTTCAAGTAGATGAAAATGCTAGACAAGCAAAATGGCTATGGAATGCTATCCAAACGTCAAGCCCATATGATATATTCATGTAGTAACTGTTGTATTAGGTAAGTAAACAAATCTGCTTTGCAAGTAAATGCGTCTTTTTAAAATGATTATTTTCAACTTTGATTCATTTTTAGAAATGAACCATATTAAACTTAAACTATAAATTAGAGACAATAATAATAATTTAAAATACACAGAAAAAGTATTGCATGTTTTTAATATTTGGTGCTTACGGGTTCTGTTTATTTATAAAAAAAAGTGTCAGGATTACCTAATTTTACAAGAAAAAATAGATAAACAGATACTTTTTACACCTTTTATTTTAAGAGCAACCTACAAGTGACAAGTGTCGCTTTCCACAAAGTGGCCCTTTGTGGAAATCGCGTCTTGGCCGCCTTTAAGTTTATTTCTTATTTTCGGCCAGTGTGTACAGATATCATGCTTTCTTAAAAAGAGCTTAATGTTTTATAAACTATTAAATTTGTTTTGGTGCGGCGTCTACACTGATATTAAATAAGTCTAATATCGTCTCACAAAATGTCCGTGACAAAAGGATAATAATTTTATTAAAAATTAAAAATTTGCAATTCATGGCATGCATGCAATTATAGGATAATTGTGATGACGAACTCTGGCACTAGCAACACTGGCAATTACGTCATTTCTGTGAACGGCGTTTACAAAGTTATCCAGTGACTATCAAAATGTCAGTGGCTGGAGGACGAAAAAAATTATCAGAAATTAAAAAAATTTTTTTTGTTGGAAAAAATTTTTTAACAGTGCCAATCAATTGTACACGACGAAATATATTGAGGGTTAAAATATAACTACGCATTTAAAACTCACCCTGTATAAACTGTTAGGCCTCCTCTCTTTACTTAACACAACATCCTAGGATTTTCATGGAGTTACTTCACTAACTTGAGAGGCGGTTAAGAAAACGGTTTAAGGAGCATTTTTTAAATTGTTTAAAATACCCTTAGTCCGAAGTTATCTCGATCGAAAGTACTACTTTCTACTACGTTAAATTGCATGACAGTACGAGAAAACATATTTGGTATAATATTCTCATTATCCTTGTGACATTGTCTGAACATTATTTATGGTATTCTCTAAATTTTTATTATTTTTTCTTGACACTACCACATGAATAATTCTTTGTTACCTACAAAAAATATAGTCAATTAACCGGTATTTTACTGGAAAAATAAACATTTGCGTTTGTGATTTTACGAAAAAAAATTATTCAGAGGTTTTTTGACAACAAATATGAGGCACAAAAACAATAATTTAATTCCCTAACGTTTCGGAAAACGAATCTGTTTCCTTTTCAGTCATTTATCTTCTTTTGGAATATGTCAAGCGTGAAACTTGACATATATCTTATTTGTTTATGTAATATGCATAGATATTACATAGAATTGTTGAGTCTTAAAAATTATACAATATTAACTTTGTTTAGTTCTTCTTTTAACATCGGTAACCATGTTGTACCAAAATCTACACAGCAATGGGATAAACATATTTCTTCATTCAATAACATTATTGCCGATTCCTTAATTTTTCTTCTTTCATTAAAATTTTTGCCGAATCCAAGTTTATTCATTGTCCATTTTCCCATGCATGTTCACAAATTTTCGAATTTTCAATTTTACCTTTTCTAATATAACTTTTACGCTCCTCTAACCTTACTCTGAGGGGTCTGGATGACTCTCCCACATAATGTTTATTACACTCACACGGAATACTGTAAATACAGTTTTTTGAATTTTGCTAATAATTTACCGGTTTTCTTTTTGTTAAAATGGATCTCAAAGTATTACTCGTTTGAAATACTGTCCTAAGATGAAACTTATCTCCGACACAAAGTAGTTTTTCTGATAAAACTTGTTATATTGATTGATTCGACCCTTACTTGATGAAAATCCATTTTAACATCGAACTGAATAAAACTTACGTTTTAAGATTTTCACAAAATTTACAAATTTTTGTGAAAATCTTAAAAGTAAGTTTTATTCAGTTCGAAACTTGTATATAAGGAAATATTGTTGTATTAAGGTTCTTATTGTACCAGATTATTAAGTCTGTTCTCAATATTTATTAGAGTCCTATCGACAACAAATTCGGGATTTTCTTTATTTATTAATACCTCTTTAATAAATTTTTTTTCATTATTTAATATTTGATTATTAGATGAAAGTATTTTTACCCTGTCATCTACATTGCGAACCAGTTGGTTCTGCTAAATTATGGAGCCTGGTGAGATTATGGTGATCTGTCGTGACAGTAGACTTTGAAGGTAGGGCGTTAGCTTTTCTAGAAATCAAACAATGGCAATAGTTCTTTTCCGTTTTATATACAGAGTAATTGCTATACGCAATCACGTGCTTCCCATCTGATTTGAGTTAATAATCTTTATACGTGTAACAGTCAACTATGATTGTTTGAAATTATCAGCTTATATTGCAAATACTGTCACACACGATTAGACGCTGTAGAGTTTAGATCACTAATATGAGGAGGGAAGACGATGGGGAATAAGACAGATACTAATGGAATACAACAGGTAACCACTAAAATTATTTATGTAAGAAGCTTTGATACCTATGTACCTTTATCAAATGTCTTGGACATATCTATTGCTATTATCAGGAACTCTCTAAAGTTCTTACGTCGTGGTCGTTGCATATATGGCTTACATCAATGACGAGATCTATTGAACGTATTCTATTGACAATTTATTGCCAGTTAATCAAGATACCGACTCACAATACTGCAACAATTATACGTAAACGGTGTTCTCCAGTACTTTTTAAAGTATGAAGAGTAATGCAATTATTTGATCAGTGTTTCCTTCTTTCTGTTCCATATCAAATATATAAGTCTCGATATTCTCTGCGGATTTTTGACCTGAAAGTCAATTAGTTTAAGGATTTCCTGACTACAGAAAAATAAATGTATTTGTGGATTGTACTTCAACATTTTCATACTGCAATGGAGATAGATACAGAACTTAAAAAAAATATAAATGCACACACAATATGTATAATTCAATAGCGAAATTTTCTTACAGAATAATTAAAATGTGTATTGTTTGTGGTTAATATAAAAAAAATTAGAACAATTATGTATAAAAGCCTGTACAGGTATTTGCCAGACAATAAATATTATAAATAAAACAAATTAATCATCGTTCACATTAATGGTGTATTCAGTGGCTTTTATAATACACCAGCTAGGCGAGAATATACGTTGATGGTTTGCATCAATAATAAAGTATCGCTATAATCAAATTGATTAATGACCAACGGAATTGGTCAGGGTGACACATGTTTTTACTTTAGTAAGGCTAACTGCTAAATGAAAAATTATATTTTTAATAAAGTATAGTATACCCTTTTAACTTAAGGGGTAAGCATGATTTATTAAGTTATTTTTATCACCATCATTAATAAACTATCTCATCTAAATATTCATTATAAATTTAAAAAAATATTAATAATTTGTACTTTTCTATTTCTTAATATACATATTTTTATACTTTCTATAAAAATAATATTATCTTTAGTTATCGATAACCCCATTTTAATTTGAATAGTAATAAACACCACATGTAAATCATATTCGAATAGATTCATATTCTGTACTTTGCAATGTTACCAACATCAATCCATAAATCGCTCAATCTTATTCTATTATTAAAACTAATGAGAAACTATCTTTGCAGTATTTTTTATTATACAAATAATACTGCCAAGATAATTTCTTATTAGTAAAGCTGCAAATCGTTTCTGTGTATCATGGTCGTAGAGTACAGATGTACTTACTGCCGCCTGCATTCACCTTGACCACGAAACTATTTCTCCAGTCCAGTCTATTATTAGTTTTCGAGTTGTGTACACGTTAAGTCACTTGGGCGTATTGCATATTGTTTTTGTGTT